AAAATGAACAGTCCAATGATCATTTTACTGAAATGAAGACTGCAAAGACTGAAAAATCTTGCAGTCTGTATGAAATTGGAGGTCGTTTGAGGATTAAATTTTTTATGCTTTTTAAGCTAAAAAAGGGGGGTCCTATTATACATGAGATCGTATTCTACACAAATAAATACGGTAATACTACTGAAATAAATAAAAACTGTAATAAAATGAAAAATCGATAACTAAAACTATAATCTTTTTACAAAACTAAAACTAACTGAAATAATAGATAGAATATCCTTAGTTTTAATGTTTGTCAGTTTATTTTGAGGCGTGTGGACTGATTAAACTAATCTTTATTTTCTTCTATAAATTGAGACGTTTCACATTAGCTGTGGGCAGCTTACGGCACATCATGGTCCGTAACTTCACCTGTAAAATGACAACAAAAGTTGGGAGAAAATAGTAAAGTCTGATTTGGGTTTTCTTTGAATATCACTGAGAAAATTAAAAGCGTCTTGTTGTGGAAACAGGTAATAGAACAGGTGGAATACTTCTCAAGGGACTAATTAACTGATTTCTTGACAAGCAGCTTCTCTTAGTAGCTCCCATGAAAAACAAGCTGCAGTCCAGCCAGGTAGCACCAGGATCTAYACAACTATTGTTACCTTCTTAAAACAATTGTCCATGTCCTTTGATGGCATATCTGAATTACAGGATTATTTTAAGGTGTTGCTATAATAGACTGCTTTGACTGATGATCAGCTGTTGGTTAGTTAACTCACAGGAACACTTCTAGCTGGAGGTTGCGTTGGCAAATATGTTTATTCAAACTACAAAAAACTAATAAAACTAAACTAAAACTAAGCTTTAAAGTGCCTGTGACATCAATTCTTTTGTAATAAACATGAATGCATTTTTGAAAAGATAACATTGATAACATATTGCAAAACAAACTTCACGTCGCTGAGATGAACGGTTGTTGAGATATTTGCCTGTGAAGAAACAGGAAGTGATGTCAAAGGGAAATGTCTGCATATAAACAGTGTTGTTACAAAAGCTAACAACAGACTGTAGAGAAGAATCTGATGCTTCTTTAGATTATTTTTAGTCGCTATCAAAGAGAGACGAAGAAGAGTTAAAGTTTAAATATTTTGTTTTAATAAACAGAGACCAACGATTTTATTTTAATGAGTTCCCCTTTGATGTCACTTCCTGTTTCACTTCGGCTGAGCCAAATTTAAAAGAAAATCGGCCAGTCATGTGACAAAATGTGTAAAATCATGTGTACTATGACAATTTTCTTAAGTATAATGATGCTTTCTTTGACTTTTTGTATTTGAAGGATAGCATGTCACAGGCACTTTAAAAAACAATAATAACTAATAAAAATTAGCAAATCCATGCTAAAAACTAATTAAAACTAACTGAATTAAAATAAAAAATGTCACATCTGAATAAAACTAAGCTATGATGAAAACTGTAAAGCTGTTATAACCTTGTTTAGCAGCACAGCTGTGACAGAGTCAGCCTCTCTCTCTAACACATGTCTGTCTTCCAGAGTACCCAGTGGAAATCTGGAGGGAGAGAGATCACAAAGCCTGGTCTTCACATGCCAGGCCGGGATTCAGTTTTCACCAGCCCCGTTTCTGCAGCCAAACCCAGCACCACAGTCAGCGCACCCCAGCACCCCCCCCAGAAAGAGGTCAGTCCAGAACAACAAACAAAACGAGCTTAACCCATAGACTTAAATATCACGACTGAGTCCCGCCCGTACCGTACACGGGTCTGTGACAGCATGGAGG